GTTTTGCACCCAAAAGCTTGCTCTGAATTTTTTTTTTAGCTGTTCTTATCCTAGTAAGAGATATTATCAAGAACCACACTTGACAGATTTTGTGCGTTCCAGCTTTTCCAGATGATGACGTGTTGTTTTCTCCCATAGGATAGATTTAATTATGTCGAATTGGCCTTCACCTTGTGAAGGTGTTTCATGAGAATCTTGGGCTAATTACGACAAAGTGCACTAGACAAAAACCCAAACCTTCTCATTCTTCCAAAGGTTATTTTCAAGTTTTATATTGTGCTAGCTTCGGCAATTAATTTCCCGAGAGGAGTATGCTTTCCAGAATAATGTTTACCATCATGGGACTATAAGGTAGCCAGATTGCGTATGTTTAAAAAGGCTAGTTTATCTAACTGTATCGTCTCTCTCTTTACCCCTACTGTGTAATAGAGCCTTGTCTAATATATTCGCAGACCCGTTAAGTTTATACAAACAAAGTTTTGACACTCCACGCAAAGATGTGAAAAAATCGTCCGATCATAAAAAATTCAAATTTTCATCAGATTTGAACAAGGCAAGTTAAAGTTGACATCTTAGCTACAGCATAGCATGAGCTTTACGGCAGATACTGTAATAGTGAATGTGGGAATTTGGCCTTAAGAAGAGAAGGGTACTGCGTCGTGTGAAGTAAGGATCAAACAATATGCTTGTAACCAGTATTTTATTGCGGATATGATCGACAATGTAAGCCTCTTCATATATTAATGAAAGAAAACTTCATATTATCATTAATAACAACTCAAATTTAAACTTCCCAAATACGGAATTCCAGCATATACATCAAGACGGCATATGAGGCTTCCTCAAGGCTCAGAGAAAGTATATATGAATTTCCTTTGTTTGTAAATTCAGCATTCAGCAGAGAACCTGAGCTAAGTTTGCTCATACAGTTAAGATCTCAGTCTGTCAGGAAATTGAGGTGCCGAGCCTTATTTCTACCCTTTTATGCAATTCCAAAATATTCATTCTTTCGCCATATACAATTAGTGCGCTGAACAGATAATGCCATAAACAGAGAGAACCCTATGTCTTTAAAAATTCCTTTTTACAAGCTTCTCAAGTCTTTTCATGCTCGTAGTTTCGGCTAATCCATCCGCTGCCATTGATACAACTGCATTTAGCGCTTGTGTAGCTGACAGGGAGTTGCCGACGCCTACCGAGACAGTTGGAGCTGCATCAGCGGCGGCTCCGAATTTTTGCCTGTAATAAAGTTGGATGTCACACTCTCCATGTAGGAAAGTCGTCATGATTTACCTATAAGCTTGGAGAATAGCTGTTTGTTCAACTTTCTTCACACCACGCATGTCCAAAACCTAAATAT